ATCAGCCTTAAGAGCTTTAATGCACTTACTCAGTAAAAACTGATGATTCAGTAAAAGCTGCACCATCTTGCATTTCATTACTGCTAAACAGTAGATTTATTGCCTTCACATTTTGCACATCATATCACAATTTGTGAACTGCATTAACAAGAAGTGTCAAGACTGGATGGTAAACTGCATGCTCTCTGGCTCCCAAAATGAATGTGCTTGAGCGATAAGGGCCGGAGGAGGGGACAGAAGATACTGCACAATGCTGTGGCACGTCTCCAAGCACAAGCTGATTCGCTGTGCCTGTGTTATATAATTCTGATGGGGCTGTTTGGCTTCTAACACTTCACCTACCATAAGTGTGAATGCCACTCTTGCTGTGTAAGACTGTCCTCTGACATATGTGCAGAAACAAACAAGTACGCCATACAAATGCTATCCAGTGAAGAAAATGTCCCAAAGCTGAAATTTGTTTGGCATGTGGAAAATGTATGTCACACGGCCTGATTAATGCTGAATCACGATAATAAGGGGTACAAAACAGTGAAGAAGAAGCGTGCCAATGTCAAGCAGCCCCCACCCCGTCACCCTCACAATGCTTCTGCTCTGTGGAACAGCTCTGTGCCATCTGTCAGTACTGGAAAGACACAGTGGCTTGCAGCAGGGGTTTTTCAAACCTGCCTTTCTGCCATCAGAGAAAGGCAGGTTTCCCTGATGGAGAGTCTGCTGTGAATGAATCTCTCAGTCGTAAACAACCACTGGGCTAGAAAACGGCTTGAGTTGAGCCAAAGCCTCATTGACACCAATGAAAAAGCTCTCCTCGTAGTATTATTGACCCAGGAAATAATGAGAGGTTGGTCATACTTGGCTTGAAAAGGACCCAGTAAAGTTAAGAAAGCATGTCACAAGTTCAGCATAATTAACTGCTGTTTTCCAAAGTGTCATTTAATTGTCTGGATAGTCTAGGATGTTACAGATACTGTCTTAGAAATATATCCATGCATTTTGAACTGTGTTACATGTTATACTTTATACATTTAGTTAAGTATGATTTTATGAACTGAAACAACATAAAATATTACTTAATTGTGAAGTGGAAATAAAAGTCTTCATAGTTTTCAAGATTTGTTTTACAAATAGAAATTTGCCAAAGTATTACATGCACTTGTATTCAGTTGCTTTGTTTTCATACACTTCAGAGTTAACCCGATTAGAAAAATAGGCTAAAATCATGGAAACGTTTAAAGTAGGAACTGGTTATGAAATCTATATTATCTTCAGGCCTGCCAGGAACAAGAGCAAAGATAGCCCCTCTGGAGGAGCTGCAGAGATCCCCAGTACAGGTGAGATACTCTGCAACAGAACACCTTTTCGTTCTCCAAAATGAATGCCTTTGACAAAACAAAGCCATAATAAACCCCATTTGCCATTAGTCATGCGAGGGACCAGTAATGAAGTGGAAGAACAAAATACTCTAGTCAAATAGAACCACAATTATTATTGTTATTATTATTTGCATTCATGCAAAACATTAATACGGTGGAAAACTACACCTTACCATGAACGCACAATTGCCATGATGACAGAATTGGCAGCATCATGCTGTGTGGTTGTTTTTGATCAGCAGCGACAGAGAAGCTGGTGAGTTTATTGAATACAGACTGGACTAAATATATCTCTATCAAAGACCTGACTGTGTAACCTTAAAGCTGAACAATGAGCTCAAACAGACAACCAGAGGTACAATGGAAAGCTTTTAAATGAATCTCTGTTCCAACACATTTAACTCAAATGAGTGACTCTTTATTGGGCCTTCTTCTTCTGGTTTCTTTTGGCAGTTTGCATGAATCTGCCTTTTGCCTTGATGGCATACTGAGGATTTAATTTGCTTGATTCAGGTGTGTTTGAACAAGGATATATCTAAAAGGTGAAGGTTGTTAGCTCTACAGGACTGAAGTTGAACATTCCTTATTAAATCAAAGCACAGTCATACCCGAGAACGGCCCAACCAAATTCAATGCAATGCACTGTAAACAAAATGATCTTCACAATGTCACTTTATTAGTTATTAATGGGTTCTTATCACCTCTTCTTATTTTGAATCCATATTGAAAGCTAAAAAAGTGCACGCTCAACTGGAACCAGCTGTGTGGCTCTTTTTCTTAAAATATGAAAGTCATTGTCTCCTTGTTTGTATTGTGAATCATACTGATAAAGGTCTAAAAATCATTTCCTCTTTCAGCAAGATTAAAAATAAAAAACATGCCTCTCTCGTCTTTTGGAAGCTTATCTATGCTGGCCCTTAGTCCTAATAAATGTGTGTGGCGTTCATAGATCAAGTGCATGTCTCCCTACTCAGATACATAATGATTAAAACAATGTATGATTAAAATAAATCTTGCTCAGTTCATCTTCAGAGTACTTAATAAAATAAACCCATCTTGTCCAAGTCATGAGGGATGTGCCTCAGCAGTGTCATTTCACCCTTGGTCAAAAATGAGCAAAAGAAACAGAGCAAAGCAAAGAAAATAAAAAAAGAAACACTCAAGCTGAAATATTGAAATTGCTGCTGGCATCTCTTCGGGGTCACACACCAGCTGTGACAGCAGCCTCCCAGGGTCTTTGATCTCGACGGAGAGGGTGGACAAAAGAGGTTCTGAAGCAGCTTGAGATCTAAACTGTAGCAGTTGTTAACTGTTATCTTGTGAGAGATGGTGACAACTTTAGGCCTTCCTTCACCCACATTGGCCACATTTCTAGTTTCTAGTTCAGCAACACATGCTGTACAACTTTCTGCATGTTAACTACCCTGTTACATATCAGTGCAACACAAAAGTTAAGGGATTTTGCACTACAAAGGTATTTATTCTGGGAAGAAAAGTGAAACAAAGCTTACAACCTTAATGTCATGGCAATCTTCAGCTCAGTGATGGGATTAATATATTTAATTTACCTTAGGAAATATCAAGTTTAGTCATACAAACGTCGCCAGCAAGAGGAAAATTCTAATTGCTTTGCACCACAAAACTATAGTAATCAATTGTTAAACATGCAATAAACATTAGATTTTGTCAAATGACATAATCAAAATCATAAAGAAGAATTGAAATCAAATAGATGCCAAATCAATGTTCTAGTTATTATTAATCAAAAAGAACTCAGAACAGGTGGAGTTTTAGCCTTGATTTAAGTCTTGCAGTTTTCTGGAAGCTAGTTTCAGTTTAGTTTTTAGGCTTCAGGCTTCAAAGTTGTATTCCAACTTTTTGGACGCAGACTAGACTTGAATCAAAAGACCTCAGTGGTCCGGAAGGTTGATACAATAATTGATCCTTAATGTATTTTCCATTCAGTGACTTTTAAACTGACAAAAGTATTACAAAGTTTCTTCCCTGACCTATAGGGAGCCTGTGTAAAGATTTTAGAACTGCAGTGATGTGCTCTATTTTCACAGAAAGTAGCAAGCATACAGTAGATCTATTTTATATGCTTTTCATGAACCCAAACGTCTTATCTATGCTTTCAGTGGGCACCATTTGACAACCACACAAGGTCTTTTCTCCATGCACAACGCTTTAAGCTTATCTGTATATGACAGATACTATCAAGGCATTGAACACAGTCACCACTTTGCTTAAAAAGCAATAATATCCACAGATCGGCTTCAACAACACAATGGCAAGTGACCTGAATATCGCTGATCTTCCATCAACAAGGCAATTATGCACGTGAAACATACTCCAGCAGTCACCGATGCCAAACCACAAGGACTACTAAAGAACAAGTCCTGAGCAAAGCAAACAGCCCATAGCAATGAAATGGCCTCCACAATTTTACAGCACAGATTCAGCATTCCTGTCCCTTGAGTCAGTTGTGTTATTAGTAGGACAAAGAGGATTTTAAAGGTGATTCTAATATTGTGGCTGATCTATTTAAGATACATGTACTGTGCATTAAGCTTCATCCTTAAATCTAACCCACTACATATCACATGACATACATATTGAAGTCTTTGTGTTTTTGTGTCAGCAGGACTAATAATAGACAAGCTCTTGCATAACTCAAAAATAATTAACTCCTTCATGTGGGAAGAGATTCACAAGGTTTATATTTATTGAATAATTACATGTGCAGATCAGACAAGCACTGGTATCCACACAAAGATGGATTAGTCTATTCGATGTAACTTTTTTTTCCACTGTAACCTTTACACAGCTTTGATAACGATGAGCAAGTCATTTCATTAAGCAGTCAAAGCCAAACAGGATTTGGTGTGATTATTATTTTTTTTTTTTCTCTTAGTTTAAGTTGCCATCTAGTGATAAAACACGGGTATTGCCAAAACACTTTTTAAGCTACATGCAAACAAAAGATTGAAGTACGATTTGCGCAAATATTTAGTTGTGCATAAACAGAAATTATTACTTCAAAAAAAAAAAAAAAACACATTCATCATTTTAAATGGCTGCTATAAGCAGGCGATTCACTGATTTATTGCCAAGCTTGGTATTTCGTTGTAATTTACCATCTACAATCTATGGAAAACCTATGAACTCATCATTAGAAAACATATCTGTCTATGAAAAGGCATGCATACAAACTAAACAAATGTCCAGTTTTAACACCATTATTCTAAGTTTTTTTTCTTTACGCATTTTATGTGGCTTATAAATTACTGATTAAGTATGCAAACGATGAAGCAACATTGTAATGCATAAATAAAATTAAAAGTATAAAAATAAAACCTTTCGTATTAAGTCGTTTCTTTTAATGATGATCTGTTCTTTGTGAATGTTAGATTTACTTGTTTTCGGAAATATTACCCTCACAGTTTTTTGGCCATGCTGGTTACAGAATGTGTAGGCTTCATTCACGACCTTAAATTATATTTTCAACACTACTCCTTATAAAATTACACAGGTTGTTTGTCTTGTAAAAATGTTGCAACACTGGTGTTGTTTTTTCGCAAAATGTGAGTTGTTTCAAGGACACGTGAAGGCATCAGTAGAGGGAGGCGTTGACTCAAGCTAACCGCTGCTACCGCCGCATGAACCTTCCGCGATCTCTGCACACTGTTACTGAGCCAAAAGGCACAGAAATGTCGGGGAAGAGTTTTCGTGTCAGCGACGGGGACTGGATTTGTCCCGATAAAAAGTAAGGCTGGTGATTAAAATACGCTTTAAAGACTTACTTTTATCAGGAGTTATGAATCGGTTTAGCAGCGTGGCGCGGGCCTTCTAGCATGTAGCTCATGCTAACGCTGGAAAATGAAACAAAATTGTTACTTATTGCTTGTATCATGATAACTTTAAACATCGTAGACACAGTACATCAGCTGAATGTTCAACTAGTCAATTACATATAGGGTGGTTTTATTTGTAAATGTTGCTGATCGGCGCGGTTCTATCAAATTAGCATATTAGCTGTTAGCTTGCGTGGGTCGAAAGGTATTCGTGCACTGTTGTATGCGATGTTTACATTATTATCGTATATCAGCAGTTTTCATGCTTACTCGGGAGTATCATGTTTCCTGTAAGCTCAGTTTAAAAATGACAGACGGGTGCAGATGTCAGAGCTGGACCTTTTGGCCCAGTGTTTCGAAACTAAGACTGCTAGCTTAGCCTGCACGAAGACATGAACGATCCTGTCCTGTTGCTTGGCGTGCTTTCTTTGCTTTTTCTTTTTGTTTCCAGATGTGGTAATGTGAACTTCGCTAGAAGAACGAGTTGCAACAGATGTGGCAGAGGTGACGTTTTACTCTCCTGCAACAGTTAATTTGTTTCGTTTTTGTTCAAGAAGTGTATTTTAATGAAACTGATGTTTGTCAACAGAGAAAACCACAGAGGCCAAGATGATGAAAGCAGGAGGAACAGAAATTGGCAAAACTCTGGCTGAGAAGAGCAGAGGCCTCTTCAGTGCAAATGATTGGCAGTGCAAAACGTATGAACATAACATGAACATTTTTTGTGTTATAAATATACTTCTCCATTAATTGCCAAATAAAATCTTTTGTTTTCTCCTTTGATTAAAGATGTGGCAATGTGAACTGGGCTAGACGATCAGAGTGCAACATGTGCAACACTCCTAAATATGCCAAGCTGGAAGAAAGAACAGGTTCTGCTGGAATTTATAGAAATGTGTCATTAGTTTTATGAAGTCTTGCAGAAATATTCAGCTTTGACACTTTGTCACAATACAACAACGGGCATTAAGTTTTTATTTGCATTTCAATCTTTGTTGAGCTGTAGAGTGATAGAATGCAAAATAGATCATAATCCTGAAATGGGAGAAATCTTTATTTTTACAAATTAAATGTTAAAAGAAATGCATGCAGGTGTGTCACACTCCCCTGTATCACTACTCGGTGGAGTTGCATTTTGCCTTAATTACAGCTGCAGCTTTTTTGTTGTTTTTGTGAGCGTTGTGTATCCAGAAATTGATATTTTACTTAAAATTTGTTCTTTGTATTTTAAGTAGAGTGCCATCTTGGTGGAAATGTGAACAGCAAATCCCGTCACAAACAGAAACACATTTGTCAGCTTTTAATAATATGGTTATATTGTGACAAAATGTGGGGAAAAAAAATCAGTCCCTCTGAATATTTTTGCAAGGTCTTTTTGTTGAGTAACATTCATTTACACATCCTGGTTAATTTAATGGCAGGTTATGGTGGAGGGTTCAATGAAAGGGAAAATGTGGAATACATTGAACGGGAGGAATCTGACGGTGAATATGATGAGGTGAGTACTGGATATTATGATGTGGATTTTTTTAATACATTATTAGCCTGATTTTAAGAAATATATTGGAGTATATTTATATTTTTTTTCATTTTCCTGCAGTTTGGTAGAAAAAAGAAAAAATATCGTGGGAAGAGCAACAGCTCAAGTACAGCAAAAGAAAGTGAAAAGAAAGAAGTGCCAAAAGATGAAGATGAGGAAGAAGAAGAGGAGGAGGAGGAGGATGGTGACCTGTCAAAATACAAACTGGATGTAAGATTAGTGATTATGTATTCTAATAGCTTTTATAGTGAGCTATTGGCAGTTCTGATGAAAGACATTTATGTCCAGGATGATGAGGATGATGAAGATGGGGATCTGTCAAAGTATGATCTCAATGCCAGTGACGAGGATGAAAAGCCAGCCAAGAAAAGCGGCAGCCGCTCCGGTTCCTCGCGCTCTAGCTCACGCTCTTCTAGCTCCACCTCTCGGTCGAGGTCCAGGTAAAAGGGTACAGGTCAAGGGTAACCCCAGGCAAAATGTCAGTATCAGCTCAATCTTCCTTTTGATTTAATGATCAGTATCGGAACATTTCTTAGAATGCCAATATGTTGTTTCCCCTTTTTCTCTCATCCCCTTCCCATCGGCAACAAAATGCCTGATGTTCATAGCCAGCTGTCTTGTTTCTAAATGCTTGGGACTTTGAGAACAAAAATGCAGACTGGCTGTTAGAAGTTCATGGCTTTCTATAGATTTATATGCAGCATTTATGTGAAATTAACGTTCATGGGGACTCTTTTTTTCTTCTATTTTGAGGGCTATTATTTTTCTTGAGTGTTTTTGAAATGAGATTAAGTCACATTAAACTTTGAAGTATAACTGTGTTCTGTATTTAAAAAATATTGGAAAGGTTTTGTTGTTTTGTCTGTCTTTCAGGTCCCGTTCTAGAAGTACTTCCAGTTCCAGATCTGGATCTCGTTCGAGATCTCACTCCAGGTGAATGAGGTGACATGCACTCTCTCCCTTTAGAGAGAGAGCGTATGTGTGGGGCAGAATGTCCCCTCATAGTCTTACTCCTAGAAACAGTTTCTAGAAGATTTCATTTCAACTGATATAGTCAAACCCAAGACTAATTTATATGTATGGTGTTTGGTTTTATTGAGTTTTATGACTCCTGTGGCCCAGATGTCCACATCAACATGTGGGGTATTTATCACACCTCTCTCAAGAGTGATGCCTACTTGACTCACAAGACTAATATTAAGAGGACAAATTTGTCCTGAATGTAAGGAAAATGTTATCAGTGAGTAATAAGGCATCTTGGGTCAAAATGTCATCAGCACTGTTAATTTTTAAGCACTTTGCCTTGCAAAAGTATTTATACCTCTTGAACTTCACCAAAGTTTCTCATGTTACTAAACTTAAAGTATTTTGTTGGCATTTTGGGAAATGAAAATCTCTAAAGTTTAGTGTTCTGGACAAAAACAATCCAGTTCCAACAATTCCCTTTTTAAAGCTCCAAAATTAGTCATTTTAGTTCACCTGTCTATGATTTAATCAAATATAGCAAGTCATGATTATCCACCTAAACTGACCAATTAGATAAGAGGCTGATGAGTCTATGGCAACTGCAGAAATCCACAGCTGTTTAAGAATATGTTGACATGAAGGCTATAGGTTGTGAACTCCACAAAGTGTTTTTATTCAAAAGCAATAAGAAGATTTTTTTTAATCATAAGAAATTCCATATGGAGTTTGAATTTTCTGGCCTACATTCTAAACACGGTTTGTCAAGAAAGCCTAAAACTTTAGTGAGAACATGTGGCGTTAGCTTGATGCTGTGGGTTAGCTATTCTCAGTCAAGAAATAATAAACCTGCTTTCTAATTCTGGAAGAAATCTTGTTAATCTGCAGATTTTGTAACAGGCTGGTCACCGTTCATCAGCACAAAAATCCTAAACATAGTACCAGAACAATACTGGATTTCAAAAATTATAATTTAGAACGGACTAAATGGTTTTGATAAAAAAGATGTTTTGTGTTTAGGGTGGTACAGTGAAAGTAAATACCTTGAAATACCTTAAAATGTTAATGTGTATTTTCCATCCAATCTGACTGAGGTTGAGTTATTTTGCTAATAGAAGTCGCTAGATGTGCAAAGCTAGTAGAGATGTACCCCTAAAATAAAACATGCTTCTCCTCCCAAATATTGAATTGAGTTCTATGCTACAGTTCTCAAATTTTCATTTCTATACTTTTTTTTGAAAACCTGATTTAACACTCCTGGATCAAATGATGGCTCGTGAGAAAGCCAAAGAAGTACATCGACATGCTGAAAAGGTTGTAACTACCACCAGGAAGAGAACTAAAACATGCAGGATGCCGGCCCTTGGGGACCAACTGGGCACCCCTGATTTAGAGCTTACTTTGGGTTGGTCTGTCATATAAAAATCCATTAAAACACAGTGAGGTCTGTGGTTGTAGTGCAACAAAATGTGAACAAGGGGGATAAATACTGCTGTAAAGCACCATATGTGCTCTTGAAGCAGAGAAGTCTGATAAATACTCACACCTGTGGGAACCGGTTTTGGCTTTACTGACCTCAGTGCTTGGTTTATTCCTCCAAAAGATCGAGCTCCAGGTCTGGGAAGGGCTCCTCTCCCCAGAAGAGGTCCCGCTCACCATCCTCCTCACCAGAGAGGAGACAGAAGCGAAGTCGCTCCAGGTCTTCATCTGGAGGAAGAAAACGAAGACGCTCTAGATCACATTCGTCCGAAAGGTTTGGGTTTCTGTGGAATACCACAATGGCACTGATTATAATTAGACCTCTGTTGGATCGCTTATGGGAGATCAGATTTACAAACTTATGCTCACATTTTGCCATTGTGTAATGCTTCGTATATCATCTGCTTACCTTGCTTCATGCATACATGATGCGCCCATCGCTAACTCTGCTGACCTTGTCGTTCTTCCCACGATGTTTGTGTGATTTCAGGCGCAGTGGCCATTCGTCTGGATCGTCTCTCTCTGGCTCCAGTTCTAAAAAGAAATAGCTTTCTTGCAGATCATAAACCAGTAAAGTTTAGTGGAAGTGCATGTCGTGTTGCAAACACAACCACCATACACCTTCAGTATGCTCTTCATTGTTATAATCTCTCAAAAGTCTTACTTCTAAGCATCAAGAAAAACAGACATGAATTCACCCTGTCATTACGTATGTGCTCCCTTTTAAAAAAAAAACAACAAAAAAAACACATATCTGGAGTGTTTGTAACTATTGATGTCCAATAAAAAAATTGTTTAATCCTAATGAAAAAAAAAAAAGTGTAAAGGGTGCACTCCCTTTTAAAATCAATTTTGCCTAAAATATTTGAGAGCATTTGGCTCTGGTCATGTGTGGAAGAACTGGAGCAAATTTTGTTTTTCTTTTCATATTCTCTACCATCAGTTCAGGATAGCTGAAATGTAGCTATAATTTGGATTTTTTTTTTTTTTTTTTTTGGGGTGGGGAGGTTGTTTCAAGGTAAGTATACTTTTTGATATCGTCTTAATTAAATAAATAAATTTGACATTCTTGGGTTAGGGTTGAGGTTTAACTGTACTTATTTCTCCCTTCACAATTATTTTGGCTTTGTTCAAAATGATTCCCCTGCTTTTGCCACTCGGGGGAAAAGACTTCTTAATTTTCTGCTCCAGTTCCGTGTAGCACGAACTGCTAAAAGTTGTGATTAAAATGTGACATCAGTCTTTTTAGGAGTAAAATGACTAAAATGTACACATGTAAATAAAAACTTGTCAAACTTGAATCTTGATAATAGTGTTTATTTAATGACATTATCTTACTCTGTTTTGTGAAAAATATTGAAAAAAAATAATAGATTTTAATTAAATATATGGTTGACCCTGGAAATTTTGTATTGGTGTTGCAAGTCAATTTTTTGTCTTATAACCAATTGAATAATGTTGAATTTGACCAAACGTTTTTGCTCTCTTGATCAAATAATTACATTAGCTTTTACCGCCATGTTCCGTGAAAATTAACAATTTAACAACAAAGACGTTCAAGAAAGTGCTCTTAAGAACCAAGGTGTCAAATTGCTGCTCAAATGGACACATTCACAACTGGATTTATACAAGTTATTTATTTTTTTAAATGTGAATTTTAATGTGGTTTTCTTTTGCTAGGAACAGGAATCAGTTTAAAGCCATCTTTATCCTGTTATCAGTTTTATGTGCAGTATGTATTCAGCACAGTAATAGATGAACGATTGTGAAACTTTTGGGTTCTCTGCACTTGATGAAGTGCTGTACAAGTACAAGTCATTGACCATGCACTGAACGTTTTAAAAATTAGACTTCAATTTGTCTATTGAATAAAAATACACTGATTTTATGGTAGCTTCTGCAGATCCCAGTGTGATCAACAGGTGGCAGGTTTTCTCTTGAGTTGAAAGGGATCACTGCTCTGAGACAACTGATTAAAGTTCAGGTCCTGGGGGGGGAGTGATGCGTCTAAATTGAAAAAAAAAAAATAAAGATCAGATTATTTTAGTCAGTGATGCTTTTGGGAGATCTCTGGTCATCTGAATCTACTTGCAGCACTTAACCCCAGATTGCTTGGATAGTTTAACTCAGATCTTTTGAACACTTCAAACAATCCCACAGGCGGATCAACTCCATGCCACGCTGCAATTATGGTTTGCTTCATGCAAAATGAGTTTGCACTAAGTAGTGAGTTCATGCAGTACAGATATGATTTTAGAAGATTTACTTTTCTGTTACTTTATTTTCTCAGAAACAATTTTTTGTTTGATTTTTTATTAGCTGTGAGCAATGACGGAAATTAGATCTTGAAATTTAAAAATAATAAAATTTAGTAATAAAAATATTGTGCTCACTATTTGAAATATGTGAAAAATGAATAATTTGTTTCACAAATTTAAATAAATGATATGAACCAAGAGGAGAGTTGCGAAAGAAATGGATAAAATATTCTCTTTTTTTCTTGCTAAATTTTCTAATTGCCTTAGAATAGAGATGAATTTGAGCCTGTAATCATTTATTATGCATTGCATAAAATATATTAGCCTTTTTCTTACTGCACTCAGAGGATTGATTACTGCTGAAGAAGATTTTCAAATTCTTCTCATCATTAGAGCCTATGCTTGCAAGGTTAAATAACGCGAGAAAGCCATGGCCAGAACTTACAGAAGAGTTCCTTTTAACGTATGTTAATTATTCATTCACTTTTACTGGCAGTGTCAGCTCCTTGCTCTCCCTTGACTCTAAGTAGTCCCGCCTCCAGCGCGTAAAGCCATGATGCGCCTTTACGCACTGTCCTCACTTCGAGAAGCGGGGAGCTCAAGAAGATGCTGGGCGTATCCAGGCGAGATACTCGCAGCATTTAAGATTATTGTTCCCTCAAGAATTGCCGTGGACACCCGAGAGGCTGCAAAAATGACTGCTAAAGACACAGGGTGCACCAACGCTTCCATCCAAGTTTGCGAGAACAAGACGAATGCCGGTGGGAATGTATCTGTTGGATTTCCAATATCCATGATGGTCACTGGCGTAGTTGGCAACTCTTTGGCTCTAATTCTGGTATACATCTCATACAGAAAAAAGGAAAACAGAAGAAAAAAGTCTTTCTTACTTTTCATCGGATCCTTGGCTTTGACAGATCTGTTTGGACAACTTTTGACGAGTCCAGTTGTTATATCAGTCTACCTGGCAGATCTGAATTGGTGCGCAATTGACAATACTGGGAAGCTGTGCAAATACTTCGGTGTTTGCATGACAACTTTCGGGCTGTGTTCTCTCTTTCTGGCCAGCGCCATGGCTTTAGAAAGGGCCATGGCGATAACAAACCCTCATTGGTACTCTAATCACATGAAGACAAGCATGACAAAGATGACACTGGCTGCCATATGGTGTCTCGGGTTTCTCTTTTCTCTGCTGCCCATTGTGGGGGTGGGGGAGTACACCAACCAGTGGCCGGGCACCTGGTGCTTCATCAGCACCGGGAAGAGCGAGGCTCCTGGCAACGTGTTTTTCGCCATCACTTTCGCTGTTCTTGGGATTTTCTCGCTACTTGTGACACTATCCTGCAATGTGATGACTATCCGAGGTTTGATCATCCGGTGTAAAACAAAGACTGGTGCATCCAAGTCTTCAAAGCAGTGGGAGCGTCTCACCACGGAGACTGTCATTCAGCTCTTAGGAATCATGTGCGTCCTGATTATTTGCTGGTCTCCTCTGCTGGTAGGTTTTATTTCAGGCTACTGCTGCCTTTCCTTTAACATAAAAAAAACTTTGTTATTTAGTAAAGTCCCTTGATGCGCAGTTAAATTAACCAAAGATTTTCGGTTGGCTCCTTTTATGTGATGGAGTGCCTTTTAGGAACAGATTAAGAGCTTTGCGTCTCTGGAGATGCTCAGATTTCTCTGTAGGTCAGCTAAAGGAGCAAAAGCAGACTTGTGACTCAAACACATAACCCACAAAGCCTTCCAAAAGTATTAATATCCTTTGGACTTGTTCACGTTTTATTAGGTAACCGCAACAAAAATGCATTTTATCAGGATCTTCTGTGAAAGGTGAACAAACTGTGAGGCAGAAGTTAAATTGCTTGCAAATAAAAATCTGAGATGGTATTACTTATGTATATTTGGCTTCTGCCTACTGGCTTCTGACTACTGCCAACAAAAAGGTTGTTGGCAGTAGTCATCATAAGGCCCTGTTATTAATATTAGACCAAGATTAATAACTTGTCCGATAAATATTGTTTTAAAATTAATCAGACGTGACTTGAAAACTGAAGTTCAACTGATGTAAGCTATTATGCAAAGAAGACCAAATAAACATGGTGACACACAGGATCCAGTTGTGAAAGGAAAAACTGGGTTTATAAAGTTTTGACTCGGGAGGGCTGAATACATATGCACAGCACACTTTTCAAATCTTTATTTGTGAGAAAATAAGGAAATCGTGTCCTATTTCCGTTCTGTTTTACAATTGACCTGCACAGGGAAGAAACACAAGGGGCAGGCACACCACAAAACACATAATCCAGACTACAAAGGGTCATTACAGTTTCCAATTATAAAGTCAATCAACATTTCCATTCCGTGATTTAGAAAAAAAAACGATATCTGGATTCATCTCAAATGCTACCACCATGTTTTGTATAGCAGGGTAATCCACTTAAGATTCCTGTGAGAGGGTCTGGCCTCTGAGCTATGAGGTCATGCACTGTCAACCACACAAGTGATATTAATAAATGCCAAAGCACTTAGCAGAAAAATTGAATTCACAGACTTCAGTTTGTGAAAGAGTTGCAAACCTTTCTTTTGTGTGGTATCATTTGGAAAGTGATTGAATTTGACATTAATTACATGCATGATTTTCTTCCAAAATATGTTTTTTGAAAATAATATTTGCCCAAGCAATCCCTCTCCCCCTCCATAGCTTCTAGGTACTAAAATATGTCCCAATGTTTCCCCTCAGTTATTGCTGCTGAGGATGATCTACAGCCAAGTATCCTCCCAAGAATGTAAGTCAACAAACACAACATCCATTTCCATCCAGAGCAAAGTTTCAAGTCTCGACTGTGACTTCTTTCTGACCGCAATACGTTTGGCCTCCCTCAACCAAATCCTGGACCCGTGGGTCTACCTACTCCTGAGAGAAATCCTCCTGCGAAAGTTCTGCATCATGGCCAATGCCGTCTCCAACTGCTCCGCAGAAGATCAGAAGGAGAGCCAGGCAGCACTGGATGCTCTCAACAAACAGAATCAACATGGCAACAACATTTGTAAACCAACAAGTAACTAAATCAGCGTTTGGCAATAATTACCATCCTATAACCTGTTGGTCAAAATGCTTTCAGAACTAAAGAAATAAAAAAGGAAAGCAGATAAATATATAATCTTCTACACAAGGACTGTGCAGTGGGATGCAGCTGAGCCTCCTGTACAGGTACAGGCATCTGTTTTGTTTAAAACACATTTCATTGAAGGGTACTGAACCAGCATGTGAATGCATGACTCTGCCATCCCTTAAATCTGGCTGCTGTGCGGCCATCAGAACTTTCTTGTGACCAAGGTTAATATAAACTTTTGATAGATGCAACATCTGCATGAGGGTTACTTCTGACTGATAACTCATTTGAGGCAATGGGTTGATTGTAAGACTATCTAATGTAAGTTTTGTTGAACGAAGAAGACTATGAGAAAAGTGCTGAAAATATGTTGTCAATAACTTTGCTTTCTCTTCTGTGATGCAGGTCATTTTGCTTAAGAGGCAATCATATTTAAAGAAAATATATATTCTAAACTGGAGCCTATTGTTGAAAATACTGTTATTTATTAGTGTCTGTAAGATTTTGTCCTAATGAAGTTATCTGTCTGGTTCCACTTGTTGCAAATGTATACCTTCCTGCACATCGTGCTTCTTGATTACCAGCCAGGACTAATAAATGTGAAGCTCTGTTGGCAGGTCTCATCCTGAACATTAAATACATTGCACATGTAGACCTTCTTCTGCAGTATTTGTTTCAAAAACCCAAGAAACTGATAATAAAGTGTCAAGAAGTTATGAAATGGAGCGTATACTTGCGGTGACTGACATTATGAGGTCATAGCACAAAACTACTTGTTAGGGAACTGTACACTCTGCAACTTGTTGCAGAGTGTACAGTATTTTCACCAGCCAGTTAATAACATGTTATGTTTTTATATAACATACGTCAAAGAAGGTGCACTGTATACAGCATGTTTAAAACTGACCATCACTTGAAATGATATTCATCATATTTAAATTATTTTATGTACATGGGTTTTTAATTAACGTCTTCCCTGCAGTGGTTAGTATCTGAAGTTCAAATGGATATACATTTGTGCTGGAGGGTAAAGCTAGCAGCTTGGTGAAAAAGGGTTTGCATAAAAGGAGCTTAAAACTTAGAATCTCTGAAAACAAGTTCCATCTCAACAGCATCATTGCAAATGTTTTTTTATATATACTTTTTAACATTGATAACATAAGGAGCAGTGATTGTTTACCATGAAAAAGGAGTTGGGAGGTGGTGCACCAACTATGACCTTCCTGTGTTACCAAAATTGGAGTAAGAAAAGCATTTATAAGCCAAATTATTGTGGTGCTAAAGGCAGAAATACCAAAGTGCCATATGTGATTATTGGTCTCATTTTGTTGTGGAAATTCTATGTAGACATTGACAAACTGCTTGACAAACTGCTTGCTTGAACTCTGTTGGGGTTTTTGATTTAACCCAGTAGCAAAGGTTTAAACATTATGTATGCAATGAGACAGGTTGACACTACAAAGTTTACCAGAAATGGTATTCTCTGTAAACAACTATCATCCACTTAGAAGGGAGATGCAGGTGAGGATAGTTATATCTTGTTAACAGTCGACTGAATGGCTTTGTTCACTTCCTCCACAGTCATTGGTTAAACTATAGGTAGAGTAGAATCCTGTAATAGTGCAGAAACCTCTCCTTCTGTTCACTGATTGGTCTGGTTTAAATTTTATTGGAGGAATCCTATAAAATGAGAGAAAGCCCAATTATTGATAAAACGTATTGAGAGCCATGGGGGACATAAAAAGCCACAAGTTGTAGAGCCCTGAACCAGCTGTTAGCTTCAGTATTAATCAGCAAATCCTGAACAGTCTAATTGGTTTCAATAATATAGACAACATTCTTATACAAAAGCCTTTCTCATCTGAGGTTTCATCACATTATTGTTTTGTAGTTTTGACTGAAAATGAGGAAAGTGCTTCGTATATTACCAATGCTTTCATTGTTTCTATGTATTTTGTGCTATACTTGACAATTGACCTCTTGTTAGGACTTTTAAAGTGGATATCAACTGACAAAAAATAAAATCGTGAAAAGAAGCAGAAATGATACTGTGAAATGTGGTTACATTGTTGTTTATGTTCATACAGTGTAGCTACTCATTTATTAGGATGTTTTGGGTGTAATGTAGTGGACTCTATTTTCTGTCAAAGTCAGCAGAATTGAATCTCTGTGCTCCTGCTAAACAGAGTTATTTATTCACAGCTTTTACACACAAAGTGCAGTTTGTCAAGAGGGCTCAGATGGAATCGATGTACCTCATAATGAGGTGGCTCGATCTCTGTCCCAACTCTCTAAATGTCAATATGGAAAAAAAAAATTAAGGGTGACTGTTGATATTGCAAATGTGCCTATATTTTAACAGCTGTGTTGATCTGATATTTGATGTTATATTAGTATAGTGGCATCATTTTGACACTTTATGGAATTTATTTATTTCTGGAAAAAGTGAGATTGACATGAGACATCTTATGTTCCTGTCTCAAACAGTTAACCCACTTCTCTGCCTCCTCTGCACATCAACCAATCAGATTAGGCTAATGTGCACCATCATCTGTGCCTGGTTTTGCCTTTGCCTTTTAACTGTGAGAAGACACACAAGCTCAGTGATAATGACCCTATCGGAAATTGTTATCTCTGAAAACGATGTGAAAGATGGGGATTTTTTTTTTTTTCCTGTTTCCAAGTAACTGTTCATTTGCTTTGAGAAACAGAGCCAAACTGTTTGCTAAAACCTGTTAAATGAGAGAAGAAAAACTCAGAAGTAAAGAGAAATCTAAACATTTACACCTTAATGAATCGATAGTCATGGTTACTGTAGATTTCATTGCATTATGTAAATATGGTTTGGGGAAAATAATGTTTTCCTCAACAATTACTCAGTTTCACTACATATAAATGGATTCGCTTTGGTGTAAGTGGCTTTCACCTGAATTAATATTGAAACTAATGTGGCTGTGCATTAGCAACATTTATCCTGAGCAAATGTCCACCTGCAGCAGTTAACATGAATGCAAATGAGCAACTCTGTGCTTTCATGTTTCACATTTAAAAGAATGAATATTAACAACGTTTCAGGACACAACCTAATCATATTACACTTGAAGCTATAACATTTAATAGCTTCAGTCATTCCAAAGCTTCTTGATAAAATTAATTAAAATAAGGAACATGCCCTTAAAGCACACTGCACCAGCATTTTACAGTGGATGCTAAAGAGCAAAGCATCCTACTGTAGAAGGGAAAGTGTGAGGATTATAATTAATTTGTCCAGATGGATGTAGTAAGATGCAATGCAATACTTACTGAGACCATTTTCTGTTGTACTGCAACACAGTTTTGGTCATGAATTATGGATGAATATTTGATCCAAGATCTACCCGAGGGTATTATGGGATGAGAATATCAAGAAATCCTCTTTATGGACCCACAAAACTCAGAGATAATGTTACCAGAAATGTACTTAATATATGTTTATAAATTATTCTGTCTCACGTCTGCCTTATGTTTCAATACCATAGAAAAACTTAATTCTGTGGGAAAATAATGCTTAAACGTCTACTTAGTTTACGTTGTAAATACATAATTTTATTTTTAAGCAAGGCAGGCTGCCACAAATGCTTTGGACATGTAAAAATTCCCCCTGTATGTGTGTCATCGCTTGTACATATCATGCATTTCCCACATGTGCACCACTGCTGCAGGACTGCTACAGCTGTGACTCAGAAACAGCCTAATAATATTATTAGACCTCAGACAATACTATGTTGTCTTCACTAAAGAAGATACACTCATCTCGGCATACTTCACACTTGAAATTGAAAGTAAATGTTTCAGATTATTTAAGTTTATGTTTATCTGACCAGTTAGGGACATTCATGGCGCATTAAAATTCCCTTCGTAAGTGAATCAGTGATCTTTAAATATGTAGAAAAAGCAAAAAAGTGATATCAAAGCAAAAGAAATGTTCCTGGTTACGATGCAACTCCACAGTGAAATCTGCATTTGCAAAGATGTAACAAGATTTAAAATTTTGCAGAAATTCCCCCTCACTTCCTCACATTTCAGCTTATGTAGCACGAATCTTTCAATGTGCCAGTGTATGAGACATGCCACAAAAAAAGTGTCTGTAAACAGTGATCATCATTGTTTTGGAGAACAGTGATAATCATCCTTGACTCTAAGAATTATTACATTTGAGTATGTGACCTGATGAAATTGTTTGTTGTTGAGAGCAGGCCACTCCCGTCATTCACACACATTCATTCTGCACCAGAATCATTGGGAAGAGTGCAATTACATAATGACCAAATCCAGAAATGCTAGTTGGCCTGCTCTCAGACACTAATGCGTGGGAGTGATTTACTGATTGCCGTATGGCCTTGGTGTCTTGAGATTTTTTGATAAGGAGAGAATGTCTGATCAGAGTTTGGTCGAATAACGCATCTTACAGAGTGAGTCACTTTGGTTTAATATATTTAACATGCAGAATACTAGATGGATTGATCTAATTCTAAGATGCACTAAATATGTATTGTATGTATAGCATTAATTCTCCATCTGCAAGAAAAAATGCCATAACTTTATCTTTCCATTTGTATTTGTCATGTAAACTTGTTTCCTACAAAATGATCCTGTTCTTGTTTATAAGAACAACTGGATAGGACATTTTGTTTTACTTTTCTAATTTGGCTGGTGGTATAAAAATCATCAACATTTTACAGATAATGCACATCATGACCTGTTTTCAGAAACTATACTGAATAAATAAAAAACCAGAAAAGACAGAAGAGCAAGATGCACCAACAGAAAAGTGCTTCATAAGTCCATTTTTAAGAGCAAACATGGATTTTCTGTGTGCACAGAAACATCTTTATCGAAATTTATGTGACCAAATGCCTCAGATGTTTTTGTGCACTTGATGCATGTGCATACTACTGATCAAAATTCTCTAAATTACAAAAAATCTCTGAAAAGGTTTTTAGATGAGGGCTGCATCCCACTTCAGTTCTTTCTTTGGTTTATTTATTAGCATTGTTCACTCAGTGAACAACACTGTAGACTTGTGCAATCTTGTGTAATTTTTATCTTCAAAAGACTTACGCAATTCCCTGTTGAAATGAAAATAGAAATGGCTGCCTTTCCAGACAAGTGTTTCTTGATATCTATGTCTGCCAGTCCAACATACAGCCCTCCTTTCAGTCATTATGTAGAAAATCAATCAAGTTCTTTCACAAAGTGCAGTAAAAAGCAAAATACACACTGTGTAACTATGTCTGTTTTTGTGATTAACAAAATGACTCGGATGTAATTTTCTTCTAAATATGTCCAACTTTGTGAACGTATTTTGCCGCTGGCCACTGAAACGCATGTGTAGGCTTCTTGTTGTTTACGCATTGTGTTTCTAATGGGCTAATAAAAAGATCAATGTGGTACTAATAGTATGCACCGATGGTTTGTTTACATGAATTTCGTTTTTTGCTGCACTGACATTATCTTGTATCACGCAAAAGGTTAAAGCTCAGGCAGAAACAAAATCCCCTGAAAATAAAACTGTTTTGCTTGGACAACAGAAACCACCTAGTCGTCAGGGGACTAAACATTTCCTCTTTCACTAATGAAGATAAATAATGCAAATGCTGGAAGTGACCTGGTTTGTCAG